TAAATTGGTGTTTTTTTGGTGTGACAAATTTCTGATCAGATGCCATGTAAGGCATCTACCTGTGCACTTAGACTGTCTGTCTGATGCAGCTTCTGGGCCTTGTTCCATTTCCACAGCTGACAGGTTCCCAGGAGGAGGGTTGGTGCATTGTTCCAGTAGGAGTTTTGGTAGACTGGGATAGATGGGAAGCAGGAAAGTGGGGGATCTTTGCAGTAATTCTGCTTCTAAAATCCCATGAATTGGGGCTCCTTTTATACACTCTTAAATTTTTTATTTTATACAATTTGGGGCACAATTTTTGTGAAGTTCAGCCCCAAATTTAACACTGTTAAAGAGATACTAGAAGGAGGCTTAGTGGATCTAAGTTAGCACCTGCAGTAGAGTGTTCAGAATATCCCAGAGAAGGCCTTTGTAAGCCTGATCATGCTTCTGTTGGCTCTTTCCCCAAATGGCATACACAAACAGCCTTTTAGGCTGTTACATGAACAGGGTACCGACCCCGGCTCCTCTTCTCAGGGGCTTTAGCTGGGGAATCCATAGAGATTTTTGTTTTGTTTTTGTTTAGTTTTCAGTTGGGTAAAGAGTCAAGCAGCTTCTGTTCCTGCCTTTCAGGAAGGAATAATGACAGGTTACTATTCTCTGGCTTCCCCTTGCCCTACAAACCATCTACTGTGAGACACCATGGCTAGAAACTGGCATTTAGCCACATTCTTGCAGGTGCTTTTATGGGAAGACCCTATTTACTGAGGGAGATGAGTTGATGAACCCCAATGTGGGAAAAGATTAGGTGAAATCCTAGGGGAGTAAGAGGTTGGAAAGAGGGAAGGAAGGAGGACTGATCTGGCTGGGTTGGTTACCCTGTTTGGAGTGGGGAAAAGGAAACAAGGAAATTTATTCTTACCCATCCCAGAGCTGGCTGGGGATTTCACTGCTTCTCAATACATGTTATTTTGGAGTGTGATTTTTTTTTTTTTTAGATCTGGGATTTGGGGATGAGGCTGTATGAGAAGAAGATAGACACTCATTTGAGGTAGAGCTGGCTGCTGTTAGCCCCACAGTCTGACTGCATCAGGCTATCTGTCAGTAGGGGCACTAAGACCCTGCAGTGTATTGAGTAATTTTGCCAATACATTTCTGTACGTGCATTCAGTTCCATGAGGAACTCTGAGGTAACCTGTGGAAAAATCTCTGGAGAAAACCAAAATGCCAAATGTTGGATGTTTCTTTCCTTTCTTTTCCTTTCCTTTCCTTTGATTGTTTTAATTGTTCTGTGGTGGTTTTAATGGATTTGAGACAGTGGAGCAGCAGCTGCCTTTCTGATTTTTGGCTGCTTTTTGTGAATAATTTAAAAAGAAAATTTACATTTTGGAGACACACCTGTGGGCTTTTTTATTGGTACAAACGTTGTATTTAACACTAGGGGTTTTGTACAGTTTTTTGCCTTTTCTACTAGAAAACAATGTAAAGTGATTCGCAATGTGACAAGAAAACAATTGGCCACTATGACCAAATGTAGAGTCTGTTCTGCAGTAACAGGATTTAATCAACTCAAAGTCATGATTCAGTTGTAGAAATGCTTTTCTTTACCTTGTTTGAGCTGTTCCTTTTCTTGTTTTGATTTGCAAAACAAAATGTCTTCTTGTGTGAAATTGTGTTGTACTCTGTACTCTGTAGAAAATTATGGATTTTACTTTAATGGTTTAAAAGCAGAGAAGCACATGTTGCTTTTTTTGATCTGATCACAAAGTTTGTGTAGTGGATTTAAAAATGAAAAGATTTGTTACAAGTTTGGAACGAGCGAGTATGTGTTAAAGGAATTTTCTTCCTTCGTGTGTTTTTTTTTTCTCTTTGTCCCAATGGGGAACTTAAAGCTGTTTTAATTGCACAGACACACCAACAAGTCATTTTGTATATGCCAAGTGTGGTACCTTCCTTTGTTTATTTGCTATTAAACTGTTTGAGAAGAGTCTGTGTCATTTCTGTGTTGAACCTCAATCTCTCACTGTATAGATGAGTGCAGGTGAGGAGAGGAGGCTCTGCCAGCTGAAAGTGAAAGGGACATGGAGGAATTGCAGTTGCTTAGCCAGGCAATTTATCACTTAATGTTCATGATATGCCACTTTCTCTGGGTACATAAAATAGCCTTTGGTTTCATTACTGTCCTAATCAATCATTGTGAATACGTGTGGGCAAGATTTTTATTTTTGTCTTGCCCTCCAGTTTCTGAGTATTTCTCTATTTACTAACTTAAATTGATGCTTTTCTTTCTCTTGGTTCTCATTCTCTCTCTTCTCCTGAGAGATCTCCCATCTTCCCCTTTACTCTTTCTCCCTCACACTGGCAAAATTGCTAACTTAGTGGTAGCAGGATTGGGCCATGACTCATCGTTCAGTTTTCCAGGACACTTCATACATACAGCTCTTTCTCTTTGAACTGGGATACAGGGTCCTGGAGTCACTAACACACACCAACAGGTGCAACTGCCTGCTCACAGAAGAGGAATGGTGCACTTTTCTGTAAAGGAGAAGCATTTACCCAAATAATGTTTAGCAGCAGACTGGGGCTATTTAAAATACTTCCTCCTTCCCTAAATTTCTCTGGCTGCATCCACTGAATACTGTATTCTTTACTTCCTGTCCTAACCTATTGGACAGTGTTATACTCCACTGTTTCAGTTGTGGGTGAAGCTACCTGTTTGTTTAGGGATATTAGTGTTTAACCAGTGGGCCAGCTGGGCTGGAGCAGGCCCCTGCCCAACACGGGCATGGGCTGCTACATCCTAGCCAGGCCTAGCGCATCATGCCATGGTCAGGAGTCGCTCCAGCTCAGCCAGAGCAGTCCCCTCCTGCAGCACACCTAGCCTGGCCAGAGCAGCCTGCCATGGCACCCCACCCCTGTTTAAGTAGTTAATTGGTTAAATATAATGTTCAACCAGTTAATTAAATGGGATTTTATATTCCTACTTCTGTGAAGCAGTGCAAAATGCTTTGCAGTGAAATTTATTGTATAATTTTGAATGGTGGGAGTAGGCAGAATATGATTTTGTTGGAATCTGGCCAGGATATTAACATTAATATCCCTACATCTCGGGGAAAGTAGTATGGAAGTTTTAAACCCAGCAAATAACCATCTTTTCAGTCTTTTAAAAAGACTTAAAATCCAAAAATAGTTTAAATCGCTCCTCCTTCTGTTGGCTTGGATGTAAATCCCTTACTCAGACTGTCACCATTAGATAATCAGTCCTTTGTTCCATCCAGTGCAGCCAATCACAGAGCAAGACACTGTGCCACCTGTGGTATGATGCACTAGCATTTGTGCAGTTAATTAGCAGCTGTTTAGAAGGGAGGCTAGGGAGTCAAACTCAGAGATAGGGGTTGAGATTGGGGTGGAAGACTGGGAGAAGCAGTTGAATCAAGAAACGCATCTCTTCATGTGAGGACAGAGGCTCCTGATTACACAGCGAAGTAGATTATTCCTTTCATGGGGCAAATCCCCAACAGCAGTTGTCAGTTGTGGTATATGGATACTGAAATTAGAACCCTATGTGTAAAAGGTGCTGTCTGTTTTACATCAACCATCACCATGCAGCACCCTTTAAACTATAGTTAATAGTCGGTGTTTCAATCTCTGATAATCATCTGGCTTTTTCTCGTGACTCTTGTAAATTTTAACTTCTAATAAAAAGCCCAGAGTTTATAGATTCAACCCAGATGTTACTGACTTAGGGGTTCAGGTCTTATATCCTCTTCATTGCCCACCAATGCACTGCTTGTTTCCCCTCCCATCTCCAAAGAGTGAGAGCAATTCTATTCTGCTCCTTTTACAGCAGTCACCCATGCCTCAGTTTACTGCACATTTATTTGAAGTTTCCTGATCCCTTCTTTGCCCACCTGACCCACAGTTATATGTCAGCATCAGGAGTGGCATAGAGGGCAAAATGCCAGCAAACTGGAGCCAAGATATCAAGCTGGTCCCTTCTCGTACTCTAAGAAGTCCCTCAAACCACTTTACACACTTACAGCCCAAATTCTACTATGAGTTACAACATGCAATTTCATGCATAGGTGTAACTGAAAAAATGTGTACGATGATCTCCTATTCAGTTGTACTGTATGCAATTGGCAGAGCATGGGCTGGGAGGGAATTGGCATAAAAGTGGTAAATGAAGTGAAGGATGAACTGGTGTTTGAGGAGCAGCTGACAGCTAAGCAGGTGGACATTGAGGATGCAGTTAGGCAGGCATATATAGCTTTTTGGGAGGTGGAAGAAAGAATCAAGGTGCCCTGCTAATAAAATACAAGTCTTAATTCCTCAGTGAAACCATGGATTGAAAGAATCTAAATGACCAAGGTGTTTTGATCTAGCTACCTGTCCTCAGCTATAACTCATTGGCTGCAAGTTGGTAAGTTGCTTATAAGTATGTGTGTCTCTCCCTCAGTTC